GGTGAGCGGTGCCGAGGGCTGCAGCCGGCGCTGTGGGGGCGGGAGCCTCGGTCAGGGGCTGATCCGCAGCCTCGCGCCTTCTTTCGGGCTTCACTGGGCGCGGAACTGAACTTCAGCAGCGGTCAGGCGGTGGGTGCTGGTTGTGTGGCATCTTCAGCTTACCGGGCCGTGCTGTGTCCCTTCTAACTCCCTGGCCATTCCTGCCTTTTCTTGTCACCCCGCTTGTGCTAGCACTGGTGTCGTCTTGTGCTCCTGTAAGCTAACCGGGGGCACACAATCGTAGAATCGTTTAAGTTGGAAAAGACCTTTAGGATCATGATATGGTTATTTTTTTTTCTCCTGTAGGGTTAGTTTTTAGCTGGCTTATCTTGCTGAGTTGAGATTAATTCAGAAGAGGGGATAGAATCAGAATAATTAGCTTAAATTGACATTGCACGTACCTCTAAGCTCAAGTGTTATGTGTAATGTTCTTAGTGTAACAAACTTAATTTTTTCTTTCTAGGCAAACACCGGAAACATCCTGGAGGGCGTGGTAATGCTGGTGGTATGCACCATCACAGGATTAACTTTGACAAATAGTAAGCCAACTTTTAAAATATGTCCTAGCAAAATGTATGTTCCTGAAGTAGAAACAACTAACTTTTATGTGTGAATGAACAAAACTCCCTGCAATCCTGTGTGTTTTTTCCTCTAACGTGAAGTGTGGCATTATACCTACAGTCAACTCACGTCTCCATTTACCCTAAAATCAAAGGCCTTTTCACTTATACCAGGCGGTTTTAAGAGTTCAGTGCAGCATTTGGTAAACTTGACCAAAGTTGCCTGTTACAACGTGGTCCCTGCTTAGCGATGAGCACATAAAATGTTATGTAAGTTGAAAATGTTATGTTAAATCCAAACTGCATCCTATTTAGCTGCATGCTGTAAAGGCGAGGGATGTTGTCTTTACTTATTGCCGAGACTAGAGTCACATCTGGACACTGCCTGTTGTCCTGGTGTGCTAGAGTACTCGGACAGCAACCACTAATCTATATTCACTGGCTGTGACCGTTCTTGACTCAGTCAGTCACCAGGTTAGTGACAGGAGCGCTGAAACTCCTCAGGCAATGCAGCCCTCCCTGGCTTCACGGAGTTGGGGTTGCCCTGGAAATACAGGGCTGGACCAGGCTGGCCGATGAGGGGGATTGCGTTGTGAGTTCAAGAGAAAATAATTTTCCCTTGGTTTGGATACTAATGATTATTGCACTTAAATACTACATGTATTAATATGAATAAAAGCATAATGTGACATTTTGATTACCTTGATCAAGTAAGATGCTTGTTTCAGGGTTAATTTGTAGTCCTACCTGTTCAGGGTGAATTGAAAATGTGACCTAATGAGGAATGTGTTTCTTTCACAGTCACCCTGGTTACTTCGGAAAAGTAGGCATGAGACACTATCACTTGAAGCGAAACCAAAAGTTCTGTCCCACTGTCAATTTGGATAAACTATGGACGCTTGTGAGTGAGCAGACAAGGCTCAATTACGCAAAAAATGAGGCTGGACTGGCCCCAGTCATTGATGTTGTGCGCTCAGTAAGTTTCTGCTTGTGTTTAAACCTGCAATTCCTGGTCACTTCATGTGTAACTTAGCTTTGCATATCCAAGTAGGAAAACGGTGAACTGCGAATAAGCTACAGTCCTTGAATATTTGTGAACTTCTCAGGACAAGTATCTTGGCATATAAGTAGTTACACAGGTACTTACGCTGTTACATTTTTTCCCTGTAAGAACTTTTTCTCATACTTGAGTGGGATTGTGGACAGGGACTTCCCTTATTTTGGAAGGTGGTGAAAGATTACTTTTTTAAAATGTTACTGAAGGCGTGTATAAAGAGATGGCAGAACTAGTCTCATTTATATAAAGTCACTTCTAATATAGAGACTAGAGTCACATCTTAACACGTTTGATTGTCTTGGTGTGCTGTAGTTCTCTGACATAAACGTCTGATCCCTGTTCACTGGCTGCGATGTCTCCTGTCTTAGCCAGCCACTGAATCAGTGACACTAACTAGTCTGCCAAGCGGGTGCGTTCTGTGTCCCACATTAAGATAACCTGCGTTGGCCAGTTATGCTGCCGCTTCTAACAAGCGATGACTTCAAGGGCTGTAGTATTAATGGACCTTGTGCCATGATTGTCCTTTCAGTGTAAAGGACAGGCACGAGATGAGAGGATTCCAGTGGTAGAGAACAGCTATTGCTGCAAAAGCTTGCAAAAGCTTCCACTGTACGTTTAAGACGTGCAGAAGAGTCCTCTGCTCTCTTCAGAAGTACCAGGATGTCCCACAGGTAAAGAGCACTGGCCAGAAGTCATTGGGTAGTAGGTAGTCTCGGAAGTGCAACCAACTGCTCTCCCCTTCGGAAGAGTGGGGAAAGGTTGGCGACTTCTTTGTCAGATTTCACAGTGTTTTCTGTATATGGAGTACGGGGAAAAAAAATTGAGCTTCTAAATTACAGGAAAATTGCAATCTACAGTTTCCACTTTTTCTCTGAACAAATGCAACTCCACGAGGTCGTGCAGGGTATTTTTCTTTCATTCGTACCAATTTTATATTGGAGACAGACACTGAGGTCGTGGTGATCATGGTTTTGGTTTTAACTGGTGCGTGCTAAAAGGCAGGTCTGAATGTGGGAGCCTGCAAGCTGATAACAAACACTTAACATGTTTTTTAATCTTTCTAGGGCTACTACAAAGTCCTGGGCAAGGGGAAGCTGCCCAAGCAGCCTGTAATTGTGAAAGCAAAGTTCTTCAGTAGAAGAGCAGAGGAGAAGATCAAAGAAGTTGGTGGTGCCTGTGTGCTTGTGGCATAAAAGCCTTTGTTTTATTCAAATTTTTTGAATAAAGACAGTGTGTAAAGTGTACTGATTTACAGAAGCTTCTGATTTTTTTTTTCCTGACTTGTCCAGACACTGTTCACACTTAAGTCTTGTCTGCTTAGTTATTTCTGGCAGTTTTGGATTAGTGGTTTGAAGCTTCTCACTATCTTTTGAAATTGCCGGGCTACAGTGTCCAGCATTTGGCACATACAAACACCTCATCGTTTTGTATTTATGGGGTAGCAAACCAGTTCGTCCCGTACTTGTGCAGCTCTTTCAACTGGTGATCCTCTTTACAGCTGTCTGTGAAAAGGTGACTTCACGTTCTGTTGATGGGGATTTTTGTACACTGAAATGACATCTAGGTGAAATATGCAGGGATACTGCCTTGGCCTTTGGGAATGAAACAGCAAGAGTGTGCACAAAGAAATGCAACGGAACAATGCAAAGTGGGTAGTAGTATACCAGAAACTGCTGTGCAAAAGAGACTTAGTATGGGAAATGGCTATCGATAAGCTTTGTGATCAATAGGCTTCTTTTGGGAGAGCAAAACAATTGTAGTCCCATTTCCACTGAGGTGGGCTATTGGAGGGAACGAAGGGGAAATCCCTAGGAGTAGTGTGGGACAGTAGGGAAGGGCTGAAGTAGGTGGGAAGAAACAATTCAAGGTTTCTGCCTCGTTATTGCCAGGCTTACATCATGAGCAGCACTTCAGGCAGGTTTCTGCAGGCGCTGTGAAGGTCTGCCTCGTCCGCAGCTTTCTCACAAGCAAGGCCAGCGTTTGAGCAGAACCGCGCTGTGTGGTGTGCCTCTGCCGCTGACGGCCACTGTGCCTCCGACAGAAAGTGATGGGTGTTTCTTTATCAGCGTTGTGCATAGAAACAAGATGTATTTTGAATTCAGTTCAACAATGTGGTTAAATTCTTTGCTTTTTCGTGGCGTTGTTAATGAAAGGTCTTTCTCAATCGTGACTTGCATTTGTCCCCCCAGTGCTTCAACTGCTGCTAAACGGATGACAGCTGCCTAGCTTCTGATCACAGTCAACATGCGAAACGCAGGCCATTTTAATCCATGTGCTTTTTAGAAACTGCTGGTGTAGTACTCTGAGTACCAGCTGAGGTGTTTGCATCCTGTAGTCATCGGAACGTGAGGCCCATAGTCATCTATAGTGTAAGTCGCCTCTTCATTGATGGTATAGCGCTACGCTTTTGCAATCTCTGCTAGACCACAGCTTGTGAACACATCGGATTTCTTTGAGATCAGGCTGACTTCTTCCACCACAGGACGAAATTGCTTCTGCATGTACTGATTCTC